CAGCTATGTGCTGGCAACGAACGGGAACGCATTTTGTAGAGAAGGGAGGGGAGAAGAGGGTAGCATCGGACACGGGGCATGTCGACGAGGAGGCCCCCCTCGCGGAAGGATCCCTCGCGGAGGAAGAGCGGTGAAGAGACGTCACGGGGACGATGGAAGAGGGACGCGCGGGCACGCGAAGGGTATGATTAATACGCGAGCATTATTTTCGGATTTTTTGCCGCGCGATCCGCGAGCGCAAATTGCTTGCAAATAAAGGCGGCGTCGGGCGACTATCGCCGCCGGTAGGACGGTCGGCACGACGACGACGGCGGCGACGGCGGCGGTGGTGGCGGTGGTGGCGGCGGTGGCGGCGGGAAAGGAAGTCACGGAAGGAGGCCGAGAGCTCGTCCCGAGCTTAATTTAATTTAATTATGCCCTCTTTCTTCGCTACCAACGCGCCCGAAGATAGATGGCGGCCACGGAATCTCGCACGTCTCGCCTCGGCACGTTGCGCCGCCCCGTGCGAGCGTAACCGCGATTTCCGCGACATAATTCGATCTCCATCCAAATTACGCGAGTCTTAAATTAACAGCGAAGTCCGCAGACGCTTTTCCTTTTCTTTTCGCACAAATTCCACAGATTGAAAAAAGATATTTTTCAGAAACGTTTACTTCCAAAGGAAGCATAATCAACGAATGATAATAAATTATTTCTTATTTTCTTATTTACTTATGTAATATTCCTGATTACTTTCAAACAGTAACTTTCCATCGACACACAATCGTTCGCAATTTATCTTTTTTTTTTTCCCCAAATAAAAAGTGCATACATCTCTTTAGTTCGGAACGCGCTTTGTTAAGAAATGCTACTTAGCTCTTATTGCGCAATACGGTACGATCACGCGGCGCACTTTGGCGCGGCTGATTCGCGTTTCGCCATACGCAACGGCACGCGATTTAATTCAATCGCGCGGGTTTCCGCGTTGACGGATACGTTTTCGAGCGCCGCCTAGAGCGCGCGTTGTTACGCGGTTTGGCGCTTAAACGCCGCGCGAATTAAGGCGGACGCGTGATTGATCGCGGTGATAAATCGATCGTCTTGGGCAACATCACGCCGACATATGTTTATCGCGCGATCTGATGAAAAGCCGCGTTCGCAATTTAATTTAATCGCGCGCGTTATTTCGCGCCGACCGCCGCGTGTACACATTTTCGAAACCCACCCAAGTGGCCATCTGCGAGCGGCCGCATTAGACGCGCGAGCGGAGCAAAGAGTGCGATATTTATTCGTAATGCGCATCGCAATTCGTCGTGCCGCGGCATCAGTCATAGTCATCGCGAGCGAGCGTGCGCGCGCTCATAATGAACCGTACGATTAGGATATCCCGTTTGTTCGTTCGTTCGTTCGTTCGTTTGTTCGTTCGTTCGGCGAGTGCGTTCCAGGGGAGTAAACGCGACTCACGGAGACCGAATAAAAAGATGCCTCACGGAAACAGGGGCGGATTTATACGTAAGTCAATGAGACGTACACATTTTTAGAGACCGCCAATCGTCGACAAACTTCTCCAAATAATAATTCTACTGTAAAATATTTATTAGTTTTTTTAGAGTTAAATTAAAAAAAAAAGTAAAATTTACTTTATCTTAATAATCAAATTTTTTAGAGGTAAAAAAATTGAAGAAATCTTCTTTTATAGAAATAAAAAAGAATGGCAACTAAATAAAATATTTCTTATACAAGCAGAGAAAATAGAAATACATATATGAACCAGAATAAAATAATTTGAGATAACAATCGTTTTGACGCTACAGAAAACTATTTATCATTATATAATACATAAAAAAATATTGAACATAATGAACATATCTTTAAAAATTCTAATTTTTTTCAATGAGATCAAGCTATTTATAATCCTCCCTTCACTCGTATACGCAAATAAAGGTCGGCTTCAATTTTAAAGATCGGCCTCGTTGTTATCCGCTCCTGCGAGGAAAGAGGATAATCCTCATTATCGCGAGATATGCGCAGCTTGAGTCCGATTAACACGACGAAAAAAAGAAGGGCCGCAGGGACCTGGGACAAGAAAGGGCCCACTGCGAGGACCGACTGTAACCACCCTACGCCCGACTTCTCGACGACCGCTTCTTACGCGTGAAACACCCGCGGTGACGTGCGGCCGGCTCTTTCTAATACAGAGCGCAAAAACGTAAGCACTTATAAGAGGCGTCGATTATTCCACGTGATTACCGATTTCCGACCAGTTAACGACTTTTTCGAATCGCTTACACTGCCGCGCTCGGACGCTTATTACGAGTCATTACCGCGCGTATCTCGCTTGTTGCCTTTGGATTTCACGCCTCGAATCGGCATCGATCCCTCGCCCCGTGTATTCGTTCGAAATCGAGGTCGAAACGCACGAGGTCTGTAACGAATCTTCGACATGCTCTGACATTCTTATCCTCGCGTCGTCACATAATCGTTTCGCAACGTTTCATTAACCAGTCCGTACGTCATTGATTTTGAAGTTCTTACTTCAATCAAGTTTCTCGACTTCGTTAATCGCTGCTTGGTACGGTGGAAAATATTAGGCAATTAGACAGATGGCGGATTTTGCGTTTGTCTTCTTATAATATATAATTTTGAGACAAATGACAGATATAAATCTTGCAGCGTACTTGCGATGAAAGAAAGCCTAAGCAAAATTGCATTTGCTTTAATTCCACCACTTTTCCACCACATGAAGTCAACGTTTGTGTCGTACGACGTGCTATTTACTCAGACAAAAGATATTGCAAACGTTACGGACGTTAAAATAACGTACAACTTGCGTGACCATGTTGCTTCTTGAGCATTCCAAGGTGTAAAGTCTTCATCGTTTTCCGATTTCACGCTCAGAATTAACGGCAATTTATTACGAAAATTGCCCATCGCGGCTTGTCGAGCCTCTCACTTTTTCTCGTGTGAAAGCGTTTTTTCGATAATTCCTTGCAACTAACCGATACGTCTCGCTTCCAAATATTTCTCCGCGTCGACGTAATTAATACATAAATTAATCCATAATTATACATTAAATTAAAAATCCAAGAACAAAATTTGTTCTCGCGAGCGTATATTTTTGCACTTTATGACGGCCATTAAACTTCCTCTTACGCTAAGCGCGGATTAAATTTCCCTAATACGGCCCGTGTCGTAATTCTCCATTCTCGATTTTTCGCAATCGGCATAATAGGGCGCCGAAGAGAAAGAGAAACTTCTGTCGTGGCGGCAGGAAGACAAGGAGCAACCGTTTCCGCGAACTCGACGAGTGAAATCCGTTCGAGGACGCGTTAGAATCGGTGCGATTAGCATTTTACGGCTGCGCATATCCCGTGGAAACGTTTTATTGGCGTGTCGTGCGAAGGAGCCATAGCCTCGCGCCGCCGGCAGCGGCGATGGTTGCAGGTTGTCTGCAACCTGCACTCTTCCCTCGTTATTTTCTCATGTATACAGTCTGCATATCGCATCGCGGATTCCGCGCTCTCCGCTCTACCGTCGCTTTCCGTCGTCATTTCGGCGAGTGTCGCTTAACACGTTCCAATGTACTTAGCAACAATCGACGTATTAATTCGAGATTATGTCGCAAGCTGCGACTTAAAGGTTTAAGCGACAGTCCAAACGGTTTACGCCTTAGCACTAGATCAAATCATCCTCTAGAGGAAGGAAGCGATTTTGTTGAAGTATCCAATTTTTCTGGATATAGATCTGAAAATAATATTCCGTTGGATCAAAATAAATGATAAACATGATGATGATAATACTGTAAATATTTTTTATATTTTAGCAACTAAGTTGAATGCTGTACGTAATTATTTTGATGGCTCAAAAATATGTCACTTTTAAAATTTTGGAACTCACGGCTTGATAAAAATTAAAATAGACCGTATACCAAGCTGTGACTTAATATTTTACCGTTTTCAAGCTACCGCTTTAATTTAATCAATCGTACTCTTATTTGATAAATCTCATCTTTTTGCATCTTTTTTAATATTTTTCGTAACAAGAAACAATATTTAATGAATTTAACGGAAAATTCCGTCGACAAACAACGTGATGCAATTCTACGATGTTGCATCGCCACGGATATCATTA